ATATATTGCTCTCTATATTTTCACATTTGTGTCAAGATATAACTCAACCCTGTGAGGACGCAGCTACAGGTAGCTGTCACAAACTATCACCAGCCTCTGCGGGGAAGCGTTGGTTGGTTTGGGTTGATTTTTCCTAAAGCGACATCCATCTTCTTTCGTTTAGGGGGGTTTGAGGGCCACGCCCCTGCCCTTCGTCCCCCACCCCTAAATCGTTGTACAAATAGCTAAAGATTTCCCAATTAGTGCAGTTTATAAACAAACAATTGTGAAGCAGTGGGGAAATTTTAACAATGAATAACTTAAAAACTATTAGCATTTGTGCGCAGAATGTTGATGTTATCGGTCAATGAGTACCTCAACACCCCCTGCGAATTTCATTAAAAAATTCGTAATTCTTTGGGGGATACAGGAAATGGTCTATTATAGGAAATCTCAACCAATGTTTCCGTGTGCTGTATACTGGAGACACCCCCTAAATTCAAAGTTGTGTTTGTTTAACTGCAAAGGGCAGTAAGAGAAACGTACCTGATTAATCCGGAGAAAATTTCCTTGCTTTATACGTGTTAAACGCATTAACAAATCGTAATGCTGCTCCACTCTCCTTAAACACGTTTCGCAAATGGTTTTAGGTAAAGGATCCGTAGGTGAAATCTGTAAGAATTATAGCATGCATCTGTTTCTGTTTGAAGTGTTGTGCGAAACACATACAGTGATTGGCAAATACCCGTTGATTTTCTCCACTAAACACAACTTCCTGCCCTGATCACCATATATATGTATTACAATTCTGTGCATTTCGGAACAGAGACGACAAAGAAATCCTGAAATGCAAGCCCTTTCCATGCTACCCATATTCACTAATTAGCAAAAGCGCAGACCGAATTACTTCTCGGCATTAACAAAATAGGTATGGGTAAGTTCGATATTCGAAGCTTCGATATTAATCGAATTTTAGCTCCAAAATAGCGATTTTTTGAAATCGAACTATATGTTGCTAAAATTCGGATAAAATCGAATTTGGGTTGACTTCGCGAGAGTGCGCTACGCTTTGAACAAAATGACTTTATCGGGGGTGTAGAGGGGGTCTTCGTAATTGTCCATACTTGTACTTTCACACTGGTTGGGTTCTCGAAAGAGAAGTAAACAAATTTATAAACGTGTTCCTCATCGTTAAATAATGAAATAAATAGAATATGAAATAGATAAACGTTCAGAGAGCTCAATTTAGTTGGAATGTGTGTTTTCTGCACACTTGTATTTCGTTAAAATTTTCAACTTTAACAACAAATTACTCATAAACTATGAGTTTCCTCGCCGTCTGGTTTTCAGTTTCCCTTTCCCATCCTGTGTGGCACTCTATTTGTCTTAGGGATTCGAGGAAAAAATACATGGTTTTCGATCTGATGCATAAAAACATAAAATCTGTGCCAAGAAGGAACTGTTATTCCAAGCTCAATTTAAATTTTTTTTTATTAAAAAAAATAGTTTCTTTGTTAATTTTTTATTTTAAATTTTTAGAGGCTTTTACGTTAGTAGCATGAAGCTTTTGCCTGAAAAGACCCCTAGTAAAATTTTCTGGAGAATAATTTTTTAGATTAAATAAATCCATAAACGATCTGTCAAATTTGCTTTTTGTGAGATTTCTTGAAGTAAGGGTCAAATATGACCGTTTTAGCGGGAGATAATGGGTTAAAATGTTCTACGAAAATATTTCCCAAGAAATTTTTTATATATATGTCTTAACCTTTAATTTCGCTCAGACATTTATTTTAACTATTTCTTCGACTTTTTTTAAAACTACTTAGGCCGAGATATGAAAAATTTAGTAGGCCATAAAATAAAAAGACGAGCTAACTTTTGCAAATCCATCGAGCGGTTTACTAGTGGATGGGTAGACGTTCAGAAAATGTTAACAAAGTACGGGCTGGTTTCGGCTGTCGCACAGTGTAATTTTAGATTAACTTTTTAAACAGGTGGCCACTCCCTTCAAGCACCTCAAAAATATTTTAATTGTTGCATAGTATTTTAAGTATAACACTTTAAATAAATTCGACTTTTAAAACAGGTGGCAACCCTCCCAAATGTAATTAAAAAAAAGTTTATTCAAAACATTTCGATTGATACCCATATTGGAGTAATTTATTTAACTTATTAAATAATTTGATATTGATTTTCTTACATATGGCACAAAACTAAAACCATGTTACACATCTACATTTCATTTGACACCTACCCCCTTCTTGAAAATCGAACGAACGATACAGATTTTATGACTTGTTGTTAAATATTTAACGCAAACATCTGCGGAAGCGATTATTTGAATTTGATTTTCTAACCTATGGCAACCCTTTTCATAGAACTAAAACTATGTTGCAGACCCAAAGGACTCCTTATTTTTTTTAATACAGATTTTATGACTTTGTGTTAAATATTTAACGCAAACATCTCCGAACTCGATTAAGACATTTTGCGAAATTCGAATTAAATCGAATTTGCACCACCGAATTTCGAATCGAAAAATCGAATGGTTGGGCAATGTTCGAAATTCGGAAAAAATCGAATTTTAACCCCCACTACCCATCTCTATAAGAAAAATGCTAGGACTAGAAAACTATCGATACATCGTAATGACTATCGAAGGTTTTCGTCTAACGATAGTTCTATCGATGGTCGAGCAACTATCGACTATCAACACGAACCACCATTTAATTTTTTGGAACAATTGCATTATAGCGGCAGTTGAGGTGGAAAAGGTGGGCGTGGTCCGGGCCCTTTTAACCATGAACGAACGACACAAGATCACGTAAAAACAAGAGTGAAAAAAGTAGGTTTTTTCATGGTGAATGCTGTCAGTAGCGACGTGTTTGTTGTAATTTTGACAAGATCGGCATGCTTATTTTCAGTGCTGCCGATCTTAATTTTTATACTACTATTCGTTGGGAAATAGTTTCTAAAATACCCATTTTAGTATTTCGTTTTATAGCGATTTTTAAAGAACTTGGTGTTTTCAAACCATATTAATATTTAAAATTGCTTTATTTGTATAATTTTTGTCCTCAAATTATAAAATATAAAATATATCGTGGTTGTCAATGGAATAATCAATAAAATTATAGTTTAAAAAACTAAAACCTCGCTATTATAAGGAGCAATCCTGTATTCCTCGGACTCGGACTAGTAAAACTGTCAAAAAATTAAAATTCACTCAGGGCGAGAGAGTAACATTGAAAAGTACGGGATCGTTTTCTAGTTAAAAACGGTAACTTCTGTCAACTTCAACATAACCTCCAAATATTGGTTGTAATATTTTGCTTATTTTGTATGTAAACACACTCAGCTCACACATGTAAATAACCAAAAACACTTTCAAATTCATTAGAATCCACTTAAACAAGTAATTAAATACTTTTCAACATGAAATAGCAGAGTGCACTTTTCTTTTGTTTACAATTTGGTTGCCAAGCACACTACAGCTGATCGTTTGACACATTTACCAGAATTTACCAGCAAAAAATTCTCGGACTAAAACTGGTAACTTCTGACAGAGCGAAAACCGTATTTACTCTCTTTTTTGTCCTCTCAATAGTCAGAGAACCGAGTCCGGGATCGCTTTCCAGTAAAATCTGACTGATTCTGAATTTTTCTGACTAGTCCGGACTCGTACGGGGTAGCAACTATAATTTCCATTCGTACTGTCATCAGGTATGTAACTTGGGAATATAAATCACTGCATCTTTTACAGTAGCTACACACGACGAGCATATCCGCGCACATGCGCGGCTTGCGGGTCATGCTCGTCGTTTGTAGCGTGGTTTGCGAGCATCGCATTGGAAACCAAAACAACAACCTCACTTTGTGTTGATGCTTGCAGTGTGCACATCGTGGATAAATGCATCCAAGCCATGTGCGTTAATTGAATTTTTGATAGGCTAAATTACTATATGTATATGTATGTAAATACATATAAGTAAAATATAAATAAATTTAAGTAACACATACATAAAAAACCCTAAGTCATAATTATTTCAATTGCATCATCCGCGTCTTTCCTTTCCATGTTTACGCTTTGAGTACAAAATCACTTATGAGCCGCTCGCCGTCTGTAGCAAACGACAGCCAACATGTTGGCGCACATGTGCGCGGATATGCTCGTCGTGTGTAGCTACTGTTATTAGGCGCATCAATATTACATAGTTACATCCCGAACTAATAAAAGGGAGGTAATAAAAATACGTACACAAAAATCGTATGGAAAGTCGATTTTTTTATATTAAATATCTTTTGCTGCATTGTCATAATATCGAATGGACTACTGATACGCTAGAATAGAGCGGCAGAATGGGCTTTGTTTCTTTTCTTTTCTAGCAGGAAGAAGAAGAACGGGGAAATTGAGAGATTTACGCCCACAGGGAGCGAAGTAAAGAAATAGTAAAGAAACGCAAAACTAGCAGAAACTAGCAGTTAAACCAGAGAACGTTTATAAATGAGAAGGCGCATTTCCAGTGACCGTTCTTGTTCCGCAGAAATTTGTGGGGTGTGGTCGAGCAAATATACCACTCGTCGACGAAATGCACCACTCTTCGACGAGATGTCGGCTGCCACCGTACCAAAAATTTTTCCGTGCCACCACACTTCGACGAAATTTACCATAGTTCAAAGCAAAATGAAAAAATAAGAACGAAAAAGGAAAGAGGAACAGAAATATAATAAGCACTAGGCAGAGGGGATGCTTACGGAGGCAGGCGTGTACCATAGTTTAAAGCAAAATGAAAAATAAAAACGATAAAATCGAATAACAAAAGAGCAACAGAAATCTAATAAGTACTAGGCAGAGACGGTGCATGCGGAGGCAGGCGTGTGCTTGTGTCGGATCAAAACAAACTCTAAAATAAAAATGGAAGTCAGAACGACAAGTGTAGAGAATGAAGCGGGAAACGGGGAAAGGAGCGGGCTTTTGTACATTTGCTTGCTTGCCGAAAATATGATATTTGCGTGAAATCGATTTGCTGATTGCAAATTGATTTTTGCAAACATGTATGCATTTTTCTATTTCAGCTAAGTTGATAAGATTTTCTAAGGTAGTTTTTTTTGACTTTTTTCCCGCAATTTTTTAAAGTCATGTAAAATGGACCTTTTTATAAAATCTATTTTATTATAATTTAATTAAACATAATCTGTACGTATATATGTGTATGTGCATAAGTAAATATATACATATTTACTTATGCACATACACATATGTTCGTACATACATACATATATCTATGTATTGTACCAATTCATAAATTTGCATTAATGTATGCATGCGCAATCGGCTCATTTTTTTATTTCTATTTGCCGACGGCATTTCGCAAGGGCAACAATTTTCTGTTGCTAAAAAATGTATGTACAAATAATATACTTACTTATGTACTATACATACAATTACATATGTGCAAACAAGTATATGCATAAGTATATATGTATGTATATATCTTTCAGTGAATTTGCAAATTGAAGTTGACAAATTGAAGTTATTTTAAGTACCTAATATTTTTATTTTATTTTTGCATGTAAGTTCTTAAACTATGCACATACAGAAAAATTCTTAAACAAGTTTAAAAATCTGAAAGTAAATAAAAATATAACAAAAATAAATCCTGAAATGAAACAAATTAAAATTGTTTTTCTACAACTTTTGGTTGGACACAAATGACGAATATGCCTTCTCATATGAAGACAAACGTACAAATGCATTGATTGCACTGCCCGCGTTAACTTCAAAGTTGTTTTTTCGAAAAGTTATTTAGATTGAGAAAAATGTGCATTATCATTTATCACTGCTATACTCGTATTATATGTAAATAATGGGGCATATTCATAGTTAAAATAAAGTCGACACTAAAGTTAGTTGCAGCTTTTTCACATCATTTTAATTTTCTTCTTATTTCGGACTGACAAATTGATAACGTTTTTACATGCATACATATATAGGTATGTGTACATATGTACAACTCACGGCAGC